GGTTTGGTCCTTATTCCTCACAAAGAATATACTAGAGGCAGCCGGGGAGGTCGAGGGTCTGATGAATCCTTTACGTAAATTTTCATTGAGATATTCTTTTAAGATCTGCAATTCCTTTTCAGAAAGTGGATATATGTGACCATAAGGAATAGGAGCACCGGGTATTAGATCTATTGGGCAATCATATACTCGATGAGGTGGAAGTGTTTCAGCTTCTTTTTTACAAAAGACATCTGCAAAATCAGAGTAGAATGGAGGTATAACTGATTCTTGAGTAGTTTGGAGAATAGGAATATGTTGTAAGCAGGTTTTTTTTACAAAAATCAGAAGAAAAGGAAATGGAGAAGGGTGACCAATTAATTAGAGGATCATGGGTTTTTAACCAATTAATTCCTAGAATGACAGGATAAAGTGGAGATTTAATAACATCAAATGTAATAAATTCGGTATGTTCGTTGTTGGTAATCATTCTTAGAGGAATTGTCTCATCTTTTATGGGTCCTGAGGATATAAATGAACCATCAATAACTCTGATTGGAACAAAGTTGGTTTTTCGAACACAAGGAATTTTATTCTTTGTAACAAAAGAAAAATCAAGGAAGGTTCCATTAGCACCAGAATCAATAATGGCTTCAGTCACGATTCTTTTTGTATCCCACTGTAATATGAGAGATATAGAAAAATAAGTAGATGTTTTTCTTTTTTGAAGAACGTTCAATATAGAGGTAGATGAATTAAGCTTACCAGCTTTTGAATGTTTAAGTAGAGGACATTCTGGAATTAGATGTTCTTTTGAAGCACAATACATACATAGGTTTAGTTGTCTCCTTCTTATTCTTTCTTCAGAAGTAAGAGGACTTCTTATTATACCAACTTCCATAGGTTCATTTTGAGGAAGAATCTTTTCAGGAATTTTTGGAGAAGTAAAAGGTTTTCTCCAGTTAAAAGTAGTGTGAAATTTTTCAGCCCTTCTTTCTCTTAGACGTCTGTCAATACTAATGGAAAGTTGAATCAATGCATTTAGGGTGGGAGGAAGTTCAGTACGAGAGAGTTCATCTTTCACTGCTTCTGATAATCCGAGACGGAATTGATTGCGTAGAGTGATGTCATTCCATTGGGTTTCTGTAGCCCATCTTTTAAATTCTGCAATATAATCTTCAACAGGTCTGTTCTTTTGGTGGAGACTTCTGATGTTTAAATCAGCAGTAGCCTGTTTATAAGGATCTTCATATAATAAAGACATAGCTTCAAAGAATTCATCCAATGAATCTAATATGGGATCATCATTCTCTAAAAAGGAATGGGCCCATGCCATAGGTTCACCTCTTAAAAAAGAAATTACTGAACAAACTTTTGATCTTTCAGTGAGATAAGATCTAGGTTTTAAAGCTATCAGAAGTTTGCAAGAATTCAAAAACTCTCTGTACTTTGTTCTATCTCCATAAAATTTTTCTGGATTACAGACAGCAGGATCACCAGCCGATTGAAGAGCGGCATGAGGAAGATGGCCTTGCATGTCTCTAACATAGGATAATATTCTCTCATTCATGATTTGCAGTTCCTGTAACCCTTGAGCAATCGTATCCACTCTACTGGTTAGAGCAGAAACTTGTGAGTTAATATCTGCTGGTTCCATTGAAATAAGGCTGGATTATTCTGTGACGGGTTTGTGTAATGTCCCTTTAATTTGGAACTCAACTGCAGAAACAATAAGTTACACCTCCTTTTATATTGAAGTGAACAAGCTTGACTGTATCTTTAAATACACATACAGGGAAGAAAAGCAATGCTAGTTCCAATTTAATTAAGATGGAATGATTTATGAGTATAATGATAATTAAGCTGGACAGGTTGCAATTAGAATAAATTGATATTTGCAGGAGGAATAAGACTTAGTAGAAATCCCTTATTGACAAGAGAGAAATGTAGTGAAATTAATTAATATGAATTGGTTTCCTTGGAAAAGAAAGGATTACTTAACTTAGAGGCAGTTCTGGCATTGGAAGGGTTAATTCACCCAATGGAGGAGAGATTATGACTCTCTATGAATAAGCTGAGCGTTAGGAGTGGAGAGTAAGGAAGTCCGTTTTTACAAGCCGAGGTCTGGAAGAGGAGAAGGTAGAAGTCCGTTTTCACTAGCCGAGGTCTGGGAGTGGAGAAGGTAGAAGTCCGTTTTCCAAGCCGAGGTCGAGAAGTGGAGATGGTTGAAATCTGTTTACAAGCCGAGGTCGGGAGAGGAGTGGAGCCGGTAGCATTCAGTAGAGCAGCTGATCTCAATGCAGTTAAATAAATAGCTATATTTAGGAAGAAATCCTGATATAGTTAAATCTTGAGATAAGAGTAGCCGATAATGACTACTGTGCCACTAGTACAATTGGTAACCACCACCAAAGGTTACAAAAAAGAATATATATGAAGGGTGCTTGTTTGAAATTAATCAAATAAGTATGTACTGGGCTCAGTAGAATTATCAAGTAACAGGGATCTTGAGTGTGTCCTTATGAAATACAAATGTATCAGCTGATCGGACCTAAACCTCCTATAGTAAGGCAGGCAGTGTCCACCAGCTGCAAATGAGTTAATATAGTAAAGATCTTATATATAAGAATCAATACCACAGATACGAATGTCTAACATACCCCTATAAGGAAGGTATGTATAAATTAAAATGCAAATAAAAATGTGAATGCAAAATGAAAAATCCAAAGTTAGTCAAATATATGTACAGCAGACGTGAAACTAATTAATACTTTATTGTCTGAACAGCACACTAAAATATATAAAGACTAACGGTAATCTAATGGTTAAAATTAAAGATGGTTTGTTTCTATCACGTTGGTTTCCATAGACCACCAGGTTCTTTTGTTTCCTTTGATGTCAAGTATTCGATACTGTGTACTAGCGGACGCAATTTTTTTTTTTTTTTCTTTATATTTATTACTCATATGTACTCTTATTTTTAATATATATTACTATTATATGTATTTTTAAATATTTTATTCTCCGAAGCAGTAGTGATGTATTTATTACAGGACTTGTCTCACTTTATTTTTGCAACTAGTTGTGGTTCCAGTAGACGGTCTGTTCTCATAACATAAATGTATATTGATCACTATGTTTTTAAATTTTCTGTTTCCCTCTATGTAAAATATTAGATGTTCTGTCATTAATTATAACCTTTCCCTTTTCTACTCGCAACAGCGTATATATTTAATGTTATAATGTTATAATGTAACAATACTATGATGAAACCAAAGTACCAACTCCCCATAATGATTGCTTATATAATTATGGGTTTATATAATCATGTATTTAAGAGCATGTATTTAATGTATAATTGTAATGAATTACTGGTCAATATGTCTTCTATTATTAACATTTATACAATATTATTATGTTTGGACATTTCTAAAGTATTTTTAACTATTCTAATGACCTTTTTAAAAAGGTTTAAAAAAAGTTTCTTTGTTCCCAATTTGTCGTCTTGGCGAATGGAGGGTTAATTCAATAATTATATGTAATTAACTGATTAAAGTTAGGGAGTATATAAGAAGTCAATGCTCCTTTGATGCCATCCTCTGATGAAGTGATTTGAAATCACGAAACGCGTAAGGAAGGCATCCGACGATCACCAGTTCCTGAGAGAGAGATTTGGAACGCATACAGCCGCAGTGAAACGCACGCGGAGAATACCCGGTGTCAACCTAGCACGAGGCAGTCCTCCTCCTTCTCTGTCCGGCCGGCAAGAGAAAGAAACGTTTATCTTTTTTGGACCCTCAGTCTACTGTGACCCGGTAAACTATCCACCTCTCATATGTGGGACTGTTTTTAATTTTAACCATTAGATTACCGTTAGTCTTTATATATTTTAGTGTGCTGTTCAGACAATAAAGTATTAATTAGTTTCACGTCTGCTGTACATATATTTGACTAACTTTGGATTTTTCATTTTGCATTCACATTTTTATTTGCATTTTAATTTATACATACCTTCCTTATAGGGGTATGTTAGACATTCGTATCTGTGGTATTGATTCTTATATATAAGATCTTTACTATATTAACTCATTTGCAGCTGGTGGACACTGCCTGCCTTACTATAGGAGGTTTAGGTCCGATCAGCTGATACATTTGTATTTCATAAGGACACACTCAAGATCCCTGTTACTTGATAATTCTACTGAGCCCAGTACATACTTATTTGATTAATTTCAAACAAGCACCCTTCATATATATTCTTTTTTGTAACCTTTGGTGGTGGTTACCAATTGTACTAGTGGCACAGTAGTCATTATCGGCTACTCTTATCTCAAGATTTAACTATATCAGGATTTCTTCCTAAATATAGCTATTTATTTATCTGTCTATTTTACCACTTATTGAGATAGGAGATGGCTCTTAACAGAAATTTGGACTTTATTAGAGAAAACAGGAGAAATACTTTTCAACAAATGATGACCAGTGAAATAAATGAGATAAAGAATCATAAAGATCCAGTTTCCTCAATACAAACAACTGATATTAAATTGAAAATGAGTTTTGAATTCTATGTTTCGAATAACATAGTACCTAGGGGGTTAAGATTACAAAAACCCCTAGCCTATAAAAAGAAGGATGAAAATATTTTAAAAAAATGGGACCAATTGCTGGATAAAGGGTCCCTACTCTTAATAATTTTTTTGATTGGAGAAAAAAAGAAAGAACTAGAACAATTGGAAATTGAAATAGATCTTCTAAAAAAGGGATTACTTATAGAAACCAAAGATGGATTATACGCAGAGTTACTTGATAAGGTAGAAAGAAAAGTGAAAGATCTAGATAGCAAAATAGGGGAGATGAAAAGGAAGAAGATTCTGAGAGACAAAGATGACTATGATAGGGGGGTTCAGAGAAATTGGAAAAGACAAGATAATAGGAAATAAATGTGGATAGAACATCACCAACCAAAAGTGACTAGAACCCCTAATGCTATAAGAAATGGATGGAGAAATGAGGGCAACATGATGGAGAGAGAGAGATTTAATCCCTCAATAAATGAAAAAGAAAGTAGACATTACCACCAACAACACTCCTATACGAGATCTAGGAACTACCCCAGAAATCAAGAGAGAAATATGGAGAGGAAGAGTGGAAGATCTCCCAGATACACAATTGAGAGAAATAACTACAACTATCAACATCGACAATCCCCTTCCCCTAATAGAGTACAGTTTGAGACTAAACATAGAAGGTATGAAGGGAGAAGGAACTATCCTTCACCCATTGGAAAGAAGACTCTAAGAGAAAAAAGAGAAACCCCAAGGAAGTCCCCTAAGAGTACACCACTTGTAGAATCCCATATAAATCTTACCCAGAAGAGGGATTTTTTAGGGGATTTTTTAGAGAAAAGAGAAGAGACCAGAACGGCACTAAAGAAATCATGGAGGGAAAGGGGAGACCAACCACGATCCCCAATCCTGAGAAAAAGACAAAGAAGAGAAGAAGACAGGGAAGAAATAAACCAAATTTAGGGAACTCAGAAGAAATACAGGAGACAAAAAGTGTATTTAATCTATCGAGTTATAATCTGAATAATGATGAAATGAATATACTTAAAAAAGGTTTGAAGTTTGCCCCAAACAAAAAGAGCTCTCAATTCAATACCTTTATAGATCTCCATAAGTTTATAAGAAAACTTACAGTCAAAAAATTCTTTTTAGAGAATAAGTTCACAAAATTTCCGGAAGAAGAGGGATATACACACACGGATCTTCATCCGCAATCTATTTTTTATCCAAAACAAATCAAAAGTGATAGTATTAGAGTTTTTGAGAGATTAGTTGAGAAAGATCTAAGGAAAGTAGATATAAAAAGAAAGACCAAAGATAACCTAACCATCAAAGAAAGGAAAGTCTTAAAGTCACTCACGAACAACTCAGATATTATAATAAGATCTGCAGACAAAGGGGGAGGTGTTGTTATAATGGATATGGTGGATTATAAAAAGGAAACTACGAGAATACTTAGTGACACAAATACATATTTACCCCTTACAAATAATCCTCAGGAAACCTTCATGGAAGAGTTTTTGGAACTAATAAATGAAGGTAAAGATAAAGGAATTTTAACTAAAAGAGAACACGATTTCATTTGGTGCCGATATCCAAAGATAGCAGTATTCTACTATCTACCCAAGATACACAAGAACCTCACCCATCCCCCTGGAAGACCAATTATTTCAGGTATCAATTCATTAACATCGAATCTCTCCCAATATGTAGATAAATTTCTACAACCAATGGTGGTTCAATTACCATCATATTTGAAGGACACCACCCAAGTGATACAAACACTGTCTAAAATTGAATGGAATGAAGGGTTCTTTTTAGTGACAGCGGACGTTACTTCACTATACACAATAATCGAACATCTTCAAGGATGTGAAGCCATCCAACATTCATTTGCTAAATATTCGGAACTAAAGAATGACCAGATCAGTTTTCTTGTACAAGCCATTGCCTTTATTTTGAGCCACAATTTTTTCTGGGCACAAAAACAATTTTACCTCCAAATAGAGGGCACCGCCATGGGAACCAGGTTTGCACCCAGTTATGCTAATCTATTTATGGGAAAGTGAGAATTTATTTGGAACAACACCACATACGGTGCAAACCAGGTCCTGTGGCGGCGCTACATCGACGACTGCATTTTTATTTGGAAAGGGGATTTATCCTCTCTAACAGAATTTAAGGACTATCTTAATTTTAATCCGTATAATTTACAATTTACTTTTACTCAATCGCAATCTTCGGTGGAATTTTTAGATTTGGAGATTTACATCAAAGAAGGAAAAATAAATACTAAAACCTTTAGAAAACCAGTAGACTGCAATAGTTTCCTTCCTTCGGATAGTCACCATAAGAAATCCTGGTTGGATAATATCCCGTATGGGCAATTTAGGAGAATAAGAAGGAACTGCACAGAATTAGAAACTTGCAGAAATCAGATGGAAGAAATGAAAGGTCAGTTTTTGAAGAAAGGGTATGACTCAGATTTGTTGAATGATGCCATGAACAAAGCCCTGAATCTATCAAGAGAAGAAACTCTACAAAGTAGAAATAAAATATCCAATTTTGACACTGAGGCTCCCGCATTTATCACCCAATTCAGTGACCAAGCAGGAAGAGTTAGACATATTTTAAACAAACACTGGAAGGTCCTAAAAGAGGATACCACATTGAGCACCATATTGGATGATAAACCAAAAATCTTTTATTCCAGAGCTCCAAGTTTGAAAACCATACTAGCTCCAACGATTAAGGAAGTGAGACCATCCAGAATGAACCAGGAGATGGCTGGCTTTCATAAATGCAACAAATGTCCAGGTTGTAAGAACAACCCCACACAACCAATACTGACAAGAAAATTTAGCAATATGAATGGAGATGAAGAATTTAAAATCAAATCAAATCTGAGTTGCAACTCTACAGGGGTCATATATCTTCTAATTTGTCCCTGCAAGAAATATTATGTGGGCAGGACGAAGAGAAAATTTAGAACGAGATTAGGAGAGCACATTCGCAACATTAAGAAAGGACTGAATACGCATAATCTTTCAAGACATTTCACGGACTATCATTCCAATGATCCAACTGGCTTAGAATTTTATGCTATTGATTTAATCAATCCACATTGGAGGGGAGGAGATTTTGAAAAAAGGCTTGATAAAAATGAAGCAAGATGGATATTTCAACTTAACAGTTTGGAACCAGTTGGTCTTAATATTGATTTTGAGCTTAATGCTTTTTTATAAAGAATTTTTTTTATTTTATTTTTTTATGTTCTATAACTTTAACAATAGTGATGCACTTACTATGGGACCTGTCCCATTTTATAGTTGGGGTTACACCAGATGATTTGTCCTAACCGCATAGGTGTCATTCGATTCCCAAGTATTTCCCATTTATTTTATACATAGAATTTTATTTGTAGCACTATTTATTTCTAGGAATCCAATATTCCTATTTCACCTATTTTTATGCTAGTCAATACCATGTATTCAATTTTTTATTAGTATACATATTTTTAATTATTTTTAATTATTTTATTTTTTAGACACCCTGTCACTTTAAGTGGTAAAGATATAGTTACTACATGATTTGTCCCATTGTATTTTTTAGCTAATTATGGTAATACCAGATGGTTTGTTTCTATCACGTTGGTTTCCATAGACCACCAGGTTCTTTTGTTTCCTTTGATGTCAAGTATTCGATACTGTGTACTAGCGGACGCAATTTTTTTTTTTTTTTCTTTATATTTATTACTCATATGTACTCTTATTTTTAATATATATTACTATTATATGTATTTTTAAATATTTTATTCTCCGAAGCAGTAGTGATGTATTTATTACAGGACTTGTCTCACTTTATTTTTGCAACTAGTTGTGGTTCCAGTAGACGGTCTGTTCTCATAACATAAATGTATATTGATCACTATGTTTTTAAATTTTCTGTTTCCCTCTATGTAAAATATTAGATGTTCTGTCATTCATTATAACCTTTCCCTTTTCTACTCGCAACAGCGTATATATTTAATGTTATAATGTTATAATGTAACAATACTATGATGAAACCAAAGTACCAACTCCCCATAATGATTGCTTATATAATTATGGGTTTATATAATCATGTATTTAAGAGCATGTATTTAATGTATAATTGTAATGAATTACTGGTCAATATGTCTTCTATTATTAACATTTATACAATATTATTATGTTTGGACATTTCTAAAGTATTTTTAACTATTCTAATGACCTTTTAAAAAAGGTTTAAAAAAAGTTTCTTTGTTCCCAATTTGTCGTCTTGGCGAATGGAGGGTTAATTCAATAATTATATGTAATTAACTGATTAAAGTTAGGGAGTATATAAGAAGTCAATGCTCCTTTGATGCCATCCTCTGATGAAGTGATTTGAAATCACGAAACGCGTAAGGAAGGCATCCGACGATCACCAGTTCCTGAGAGAGAGATTTGGAACGCATACAGCCGCAGTGAAACGCACGCGGAGAATACCCGGTGTCAACCTAGCACGAGGCAGTCCTCCTCCTTCTCTGTCCGGCCGGCAAGAGAAAGAAACGTTTATCTTTTTTGGACCCTCAGTCTACTGTGACCCGGTAAACTATCCACCTCTCATATGTGGGACTGTTTTTAATTTTAACCATTAGATTACCGTTAATCTTTATATATTTTAGTGTGCTGTTCAGACAATAAAGTATTAATTAGTTTCACGTCTGCTGTACATATATTTGACTAACTTTGGATTTTTCATTTTGCATTCACATTTTTATTTGCATTTTAATTTATACATACCTTCCTTATAGGGGTATGTTAGACATTCGTATCTGTGGTATTGATTCTTATATATAAGATCTTTACTATATTAACTCATTTGCAGCTGGTGGACACTGCCTGCCTTACTATAGGAGGTTTAGGTCCGATCAGCTGATACATTTGTATTTCATAAGGACACACTCAAGATCCCTGTTACTTGATAATTCTACTGAGCCCAGTACATACTTATTTGATTAATTTCAAACAAGCACCCTTCATATATATTCTTTTTTGTAACCTTTGGTGGTGGTTACCAATTGTACTAGTGGCACAGTAGTCATTATCGGCTACTCTTATCTCAAGATTTAACTATATCAGGATTTCTTCCTAAATATAGCTATTTATTTATCTGTCTATTTTACCACTTATTGAGATAGGAGATGGCTCTTAACAGAAATTTGGACTTTATTAGAGAAAACAGGAGAAATACTTTTCAACAAATGATGACCAGTGAAATAAATGAGATAAAGAATCATAAAGATCCAGTTTCCTCAATACAAACAACTGATATTAAATTGAAAATGAGTTTTGAATTCTATGTTTCGAATAACATAGTACCTAGGGGGTTAAGATTACAAAAACCCCTAGCCTATAAAAAGAAGGATGAAAATATTTTAAAAAAATGGGACCAATTGCTGGATAAAGGGTCCCTACTCTTAATAATTTTTTTGATTGGAGAAAAAAAGAAAGAACTAGAACAATTGGAAATTGAAATAGATCTTCTAAAAAAGGGATTACTTATAGAAACCAAAGATGGATTATACGCAGAGTTACTTGATAAGGTAGAAAGAAAAGTGAAAGATCTAGATAGCAAAATAGGGGAGATGAAAAGGAAGAAGATTCTGAGAGACAAAGATGACTATGATAGGGGGGTTCAGAGAAATTGGAAAAGACAAGATAATAGGAAATCAATGTGGATAGAACATCACCAACCAAAAGTGACTAGAACCCCTAATGCTATAAGAAATGGATGGAGAAATGAGGGCAACATGATGGAGAGAGAGAGATTTAATCCCTCAATAAATGAAAAAGAAAGTAGACATTACCACCAACAACACTCCTATACGAGATCTAGGAACTACCCCAGAAATCAAGAGAGAAATATGGAGAGGAAGAGTGGAAGATCTCCCAGATACACAATTGAGAGAAATAACTACAACTATCAACATCGACAATCCCCTTCCCCTAATAGAGTACAGTTTGAGACTAAACATAGAAGGTATGAAGGGAGAAGGAACTATCCTTCACCCATTGGAAAGAAGACTCTAAGAGAAAAAAGAGAAACCCCAAGGAAGTCCCCTAAGAGTACACCACTTGTAGAATCCCATATAAATCTTTCCCAGAAGAGGGATTTTTTAGGGGATTTTTTAGAGAAAAGAGAAGAGACCAGAACGGCACTAAAGAAATCATGGAGGGAAAGGGGAGACCAACCACGATCCCCAATCCTGAGAAAAAGACAAAGAAGAGAAGAAGACAGGGAATAAATAAACCAAATTTAGGGAACTCAGAAGAAATACAGGAGACAAAAAGTGTATTTAATCTATCGAGTTATAATCTGAATAATGATGAAATGAATATACTTAAAAAAGGTTTGAAGTTTGCCCCAAACAAAAAGAGCTCTCAATTCAATACCTTTATAGATCTCCATAAGTTTATAAGAAAACTTACAGTCAAAAAATTCTTTTTAGAGAATAAGTTCACAAAATTTCCGGAAGAAGAGGGATATACACACACGGATCTTCATCCGCAATCTATTTTTTATCCAAAACAAATCAAAAGTGATAGTATTAGAGTTTTTGAGAGATTAGTTGAGAAAGATCTAAGGAAAGTAGATATAAAAAGAAAGACCAAAGATAACCTAACCATCAAAGAAAGGAAAGTCTTAAAGTCACTCACGAACAACTCAGATATTATAATAAGATCTGCAGACAAAGGGGGAGGTGTTGTTATAATGGATATGGTGGATTATAAAAAGGAAACTACGAGAATACTTAGTGACACAAATACATATTTACCCCTTACAAATAATCCTCAGGAAACCTTCATGGAAGAGTTTTTGGAACTAATAAATGAAGGTAAAGATAAAGGAATTTTAACTAAAAGAGAACACGATTTCATTTGGTGCCGATATCCAAAGATAGCAGTATTCTACTATCTACCCAAGATACACAAGAACCTCACCCATCCCCCTGGAAGACCAATTATTTCAGGTATCAATTCATTAACATCGAATCTCTCCCAATATGTAGATAAATTTCTACAACCAATGGTGGTTCAATTACCATCATATTTGAAGGACACCACCCAAGTGATACAAACACTGTCTAAAATTGAATGGAATGAAGGGTTCTTTTTAGTGACAGCGGACGTTACTTCACTATACACAATAATCGAACATCTTCAAGGATGTGAAGCCATCCAACATTCATTTGCTAAATATTCGGAACTAAAGAATGACCAGATCAGTTTTCTTGTACAAGCCATTGCCTTTATTTTGAGCCACAATTTTTTCTGGGCACAAAAACAATTTTACCTCCAAATAGAGGGCACCGCCATGGGAACCAGGTTTGCACCCAGTTATGCTAATCTATTTATGGGAAAGTGAGAATTTATTTGGAACAACACCACATACGGTGCAAACCAGGTCCTGTGGCGGCGCTACATCGACGACTGCATTTTTATTTGGAAAGGGGATTTATCCTCTCTAACAGAATTTAAGGACTATCTTAATTTTAATCCGTATAATTTACAATTTACTTTTACTCAATCGCAATCTTCGGTGGAATTTTTAGATTTGGAGATTTACATCAAAGAAGGAAAAATAAATACTAAAACCTTTAGAAAACCAGTAGACTGCAATAGTTTCCTTCCTTCGGATAGTCACCATAAGAAATCCTGGTTGGATAATATCCCGTATGGGCAATTTAGGAGAATAAGAAGGAACTGCACAGAATTAGAAACTTGCAGAAATCAGATGGAAGAAATGAAAGGTCAGTTTTTGAAGAAAGGGTATGACTCAGATTTGTTGAATGATGCCATGAACAAAGCCCTGAATCTATCAAGAGAAGAAACTCTACAAAGTAGAAATAAAATATCCAATTTTGACACTGAGGCTCCCACATTTATCACCCAATTCAGTGACCAAGCAGGAAGAGTTAGACATATTTTAAACAAACACTGGAAGGTCCTAAAAGAGGATACCACATTGAGCACCATATTGGATGATAAACCAAAAATCTTTTATTCCAGAGCTCCAAGTTTGAAAACCATACTAGCTCCAACGATTAAGGAAGTGAGACCATCCAGAATGAACCAGGAGATGGCTGGCTTTCATAAATGCAACAAATGTCCAGGTTGTAAGAACAACCCCACACAACCAATACTGACAAGAAAATTTAGCAATATGAATGGAGATGAAGAATTTAAAATCAAATCAAATCTGAGTTGCAACTCTACAGGGGTCATATATCTTCTAATTTGTCCCTGCAAGAAATATTATGTGGGCAGGACGAAGAGAAAATTTAGAACGAGATTAGGAGAGCACATTCGCAACATTAAGAAAGGACTGAATACGCATAATCTTTCAAGACATTTCACGGACTATCATTCCAATGATCCAACTGGCTTAGAATTTTATGCTATTGATTTAATCAATCCACATTGGAGGGGAGGAGATTTTGAAAAAAGGCTTGATAAAAATGAAGCAAGATGGATATTTCAACTTAACAGTTTGGAACCAGTTGGTCTTAATATTGATTTTGAGCTTAATGCTTTTTTATAAAGAATTTTTTTTATTTTATTTTTTTATGTTCTATAACTTTAACAATAGTGATGCACTTACTATGGGACCTGTCCCATTTTATAGTTGGGGTTACACCAGATGATTTGTCCTAACCGCATAGGTGTCATTCGATTCCCAAGTATTTCCCATTTATTTTATACATAGAATTTTATTTGTAGCACTATTTATTTCTAGGAATCCAATATTCCTATTTCACCTATTTTTATGCTAGTCAATACCATGTATTCAATTTTTTATTAGTATACATATTTTTAATTATTTTTAATTATTTTATTTTTTAGACACCCTGTCACTTTAAGTGGTAAAGATATAGTTACTACATGATTTGTCCCATTGTATTTTTTAGCTAATTATGGTAATACCAGATGGTTTGTTTCTATCACGTTGGTTTCCATAGACCACCAGGTTCTTTTGTTTCCTTTGATGTCAAGTATTCGATACTGTGTACTAGCGGACGCAATTTTTTTTTTTTTTTCTTTATATTTATTACTCATATGTACTCTTATTTTTAATATATATTACTATTATATGTATTTTTAAATATTTTATTCTCCGAAGCAGTAGTGATGTATTTATTACAGGACTTGTCTCACTTTATTTTTGCAACTAGTTGTGGTTCCAGTAGACGGTCTGTTCTCATAACATAAATGTATATTGATCACTATGTTTTTAAATTTTCTGTTTCCCTCTATGTAAAATATTAGATGTTCTGTCATTCATTATAACCTTTCCCTTTTCTACTCGCAACAGCGTATATATTTAATGTTATAATGTTATAATGTAACAATACTATGATGAAACCAAAGTACCAACTCCCCATAATGATTGCTTATATAATTATGGGTTTATATAATCATGTATTTAAGAGCATGTATTTAATGTATAATTGTAATGAATTACTGGTCAATATGTCTTCTATTATTAACATTTATACAATATTATTATGTTTGGACATTTCTAAAGTATTTTTAACTATTCTAATGACCTTTTAAAAAAGGTTTAAAAAAAGTTTCTTTGTTCCCAATTTGTCGTCTTGGCGAATGGAGGGTTAATTCAATAATTATATGTAATTAACTGATTAAAGTTAGGGAGTATATAAGAAGTCAATGCTCCTTTGATGCCATCCTCTGATGAAGTGATTTGAAATCACGAAACGCGTAAGGAAGGCATCCGACGATCACCAGTTCCTGAGAGAGAGATTTGGAACGCATACAGCCGCAGTGAAACGCACGCGGAGAATACCCGGTGTCAACCTAGCACGAGGCAGTCCTCCTCCTTCTCTGTCCGGCCGGCAAGAGAAAGAAACGTTTATCTTTTTTGGACCCTCAGTCTACTGTGACCCGGTAAACTATCCACCTCTCATATGTGGGACTGTTTTTAATTTTAACCATTAGATTACCGTTAGTCTTTATATATTTTAGTGTGCTGTTCAGACAATAAAGTATTAATTAGTTTCACGTCTGCTGTACATATATTTGACTAACTTTGGATTTTTCATTTTGCATTCACATTTTTATTTGCATTTTAATTTATACATACCTTCCTTATAGGGGTATGTTAGACATTCGTATCTGTGGTATTGATTCTTATATATAAGATCTTTACTATATTAACTCATTTGCAGCTGGTGGACACTGCCTGCCTTACTATAGGAGGTTTAGGTCCGATCAGCTGATACATTTGTATTTCATAAGGACACACTCAAGATCCCTGTTACTTGATAATTCTACTGAGCCCAGTACATACTTATTTGATTAATTTCAAACAAGCACCCTTCATATATGATCTCAATGCAGTACCTGCGTGAATAATCCAGCCCTTTGAATCTGGCGCGGTCTTCCTAAGTATCGTGGAAGGACCGCGTCAGAGAAAGGGGCGGGCTAAGCGCCGTGAACCCGGAAGTGGGTTCCGGCGGCAGTATGAATGATAGAGTATACCTGACACTTCCACTCGCAACAAAGAGCATCCTGGTACTCCGCCAAAGGGTCGAATTAATGCGAGAAAAACCTTTCCACTTTGCACTTCTTTGCTGTGGCCATCAGATCTACTTGAGGAAGGCCCCACTTCTGGACTATGCGTTCGAACGCCTGAGGAGCTAATACCCATTCTGTGGGGTCTAGAGTTACTCTGCTTAAAAAATTTGCAACTTTATTGTTCTTGCTGGGGAGGTACACTGCCTTGATCCCTTTCAAATTCTTTTCTGCCCATGACATCAAGGGAGTCAAAACCGTCATTAAAAGTTTGCTCTTTGTACCCCCTGGTGATTGATGTAGGCCACCGCAGAAGTATTATCTATCCTTACTCTTACCCAGCTTTGCCTGAGTGAAGGAAAGTGGAGAAGGGCCTGGAAGACTGCTTGTAACTCCAAAACATTTGAAGATTGATGATACCGCTGGTTTTTCCACTGACCTTGTACATGATGAAGGTTCAGATTTGATTCCCAATCCGATTGACACGCATCCGTAGTCAAGATGACCCAAGGAATATTGTTCAGAGGGAATCCTCGATATAAATTCTGATTGATCAACCACCATGAGAATTCCTTTTTGATCTCTGATGACAAAGAAATTGCTTGGTTCAGGTCTTTGTTTGCAATCCTCACATGCCATTGGGCCCACCTTGTAAGTCCTATTGTAGAAGACAAGCTTCCCAGAAGGCTCAATTGAGGGAAAGAAGGTGAAG